AATTTTGCTTCTTCTATTTGTATCACTACATTCTTCATATTTTTTATCTTTGATTTTTGATAATATTTAAACTCTTTCTTTTCATTCTTTTCAGAGCCAGCATCATTTTGATAGCAATTATTATCCTCATATATCCTGTCAACATAGTCTAATTCGATAGATTTTGCATACTATTTGGGGGTTTTTTCATCAACCTTATCTGTGCTTATACCAATTTGATAGCTCCATCCAAGGTTATTTTGCACGTCAGAGTTTTCACCTTCAGCAGGCTTCACATATTCTTTTTTCATTCAGGTTGGTGCTTATTCTATTATTATTGTCTATATCAGCAGATTCTCGAAAATATGCAAAGGCTTTATATTCATCTCCATTCTATAATAATATCCAACATCAAAGTGTTCACTGTAATGTTCATTCTCAGTAGATAATAAATGCTCTGTAACTGCTTTATCTTTATTCTTGGCAACATCAATCCCTTTTCAATAGCAATTTTTTACATTATATTGTTCTAAATTTTCACTTTCAACTGCTTTTTTTTTTATCTTTATTAACACCTTCAGTTCCTAGATTTTCTCGAGATTTTGGTATAAAATTCTTAAGGACTTCTAGATACTCATCAATTAAGTTGTCTAATTCATTCTTTGATGCATATTCCTTATCATGCATGCGCCTTTTTAGTTCAAGATTTCTGTATAGGAACTTTTGATCAATTTTCTTCTTCCATTCTGAGATTCGCTGGCTGGTTGGCTGAGGTTTTACTGGGCGAACTTTAGAGGCAACCATCTTTCGCCTTGGGCTTTTGTTCTTATTATACGATAGTAAGTATACAATTTCTTCTGCTTCGCTCTTATCCTTTATCATATTCTCTACTAATTCTAATGTAAGCTCTAGAGTCTCAGGAATCTGCTTAGCATCGATAGTATCACTAAAATGTTTATTTATCATTTCTTGAACAACTTCAATCTTTCCTGAGGTAAGTGTTCTGAGGATTATCGTATACTTTTCGTCTAAACTTCTAACAGCTGGACATGTTGATATATTGTGCTCTTTCCTATTACAATAGAAGTACCAAAATCTTTTTTGAAAGGTTCTTCAGCATGGCTCATAACTCCAAGACTTTTTTAGAACTTGCTGTGATTGGGTTTCTTTTGCTTGGTACTGCACACTTTTTTTCTGACTTTGGTACGGTCTGGCTTGATTAATCATAGGTGCTTGGTTTCGGTGATAGTAAAAATCTATTTTGATATGACTAAAAATTTATTTTTATAGGTAGATGATCGATTTGGGTTTGTTTATTTATTAGGGAAGTTCAATCTCACAGTTACTACCAAATATAAAGAGCAAAATAATCCTCGGGTTCTGGATGATACCAATATACACTACAATACAACACTAAATACTAACTAAACTACTCTAACCAGAACACTACAACTAATACAACCAA